GAGGGGTGCTGGGCGGGAGATATCCCAAAAAGGGCAGACTCGGGCTCCTTCCTGCAGGAATTCCCAGCGCCGCATACCAGCCGCGGGCTGCCCGCTCCCCCTGACTAAATATGGTGCCGAGCGGCCTCGGACGCGCTGGGGCGCGGGGGAGGGGACCCCTCATCTGGGGGCCTGCTGCAGCCGCCTGGCGGGGTGGGTAGGGAACCCCTCAGCTTAACTCCCGGAGTCCCACGTGGGTCCCAGCTGCTTCAAGCCAGAATGTCTGAGGAGAGGGAGTGGAGAGTTAGGAGACCCTTGCCAGGTTCTGCGCTTGGCACGTGCCCCATCTTCTCCGCTACAAGCAGGTGAGGGGAGGGAGGGCCAAGGATTAACGCTCCCGTTTTGCAGGTGTGGGAAGGAATGAAGCTCTCACTGGGGCGGTCTCTGATGGATGCTGAGACTGAAGCCATTGCCTGAGTCCTGATTGACTTCCAGAAGGGCCACAAACAGGACCCCCGGGTTTAAGGGCGGGATTCTGGGGACAGATGCTTGAATCTCTCTCTGCCAGGGTCCTTTTCTAGTTGGAGATGGCCAGCATCATGTCTCTGTTCCTGTTTCCCCTCACTCATCACGCTTTAGACTTTGAGTAAGCGGTCCTTGAGCTAAGTCCTGTGAGTGGGCAGAGGGCTCTGCAGCATGTTATGTGCTGTTGAGTTAGCACTCATAGCTGACCCTCTAGTGGATGTTCCAGGGGCTCTAAATCGCTAGGGAAGATACTGTCCATCTGGACCCTGTGGGATGTCTGCTGGATTCAAACCATTTGCCTTTGGGTTGGCAGCCTAACATCTTTCCCATCAGGCCATCAGAGCTCCCTTTATGATGCTGTTAACTTTGTGCAAACATGAACACACACACCCAGAGTTGCAGGAGACCCTGGACATAATGGGTAAGTGGAAGCCTGACCTGCCCAGTATTTACCTGCAGGCTCTCTGCCCTCTCTCCAGATTGTCAACATTGTGTTCACCTGGTATTCAGCCCTGGGTCAGCCCCACCCCCAGAGGGCCTAACTCAGAGAGGAGAAATCAGGCAGCATTCAGCGGAGGTTAGGGATAACCCTCTTTGGAATATGATGAATGGGCTGCTTTCCCACGTGCCTTTTTAACGTCGGCACTGTAAAAGGAGTGGAAATTGTCCCTGCCTCAGTACGGAAATGCTGCGGAGTGCAGAAATCCTGGAGGAGGGGACGTCTTCTCCTCCTAGAGAGAACCCAGAGCAGACTCTCAGGGAGCTAACTCGGCAGCCTCAAGGTGAGAACCGGCGTTTTCACCCGATGCATTAGCGTCGTTTTAGAGAATATATTAGCGACTTTTAGAAGAGAAAGCTTTATGGTAAGTCATTTCTAGGTGGAGGGTTTGCAACACTTAATTTGACTGCATCATGGATAGGAAAATTGGCTGAGGCAGTGAAGCTTAACTCACCCAATGGTGCCGTGGGATAACGTCCTGGCAAACTATTCACTAAAGATCCAACAACACCTCCTTCCTGTCAAGTCAGAATCAACTGGGTTTCCATAGCAATCACTGTGGAGGAGATTGCCCATCTTTCTCCTGAGGAGCCACTGGGAGATTCAAGCTGCCAGAAAGGCATGGCCTTCAGAATCCTTTCCTCCAAGGAGCAGCCTGGTTTAACCCTCTCTAGGACAATTCTGTCATTTTCTTAGCAGTCCATGGTGTATTTTCAATACTCTTCTCCAACACCCACAGCTCAAAGGCATCAATTTTTCTTCTATCATCCCTAGTCATTGTCCAGCTATCTGATGTATAGCAAGGGATGGCAAAGACCATGGCCTGTATCAGGCACACCTTAGTCTCCAGAGTGACATCATTGCTCTTCAGTACTTTGGAGAGATCTCTAACAACATAGTTTCCATCACAATACATCTTTTAATTTCCTGGCTGCTGGTGCTAAGAGTGTTGATTGTGGAGTCAAGCAAACTAAAGTTGTGAACAATCTCAACCTCTTCACCATCTATCATGATACTTCCAATTGGCCCAGTGGTGAGAATTGAAGGCTGCATTCCTTGATCTTCTGCAGCAAGTGCTTCAGGTCCTCTTCAGTTTCAGCAAGCAGGGTTGTGTCATCTGCATAATGCAGACTGTTGATGAATCTTCCTCCATTCCTAATACCACATTTCTCCTCATAGAGCCCAGCCTCCTGGATAATCAGATCTGCATATAGATTGAAAAGGTATGGAGATAGGACATATCCCTGGCATACACACCGTTCCCAATTTTGAACCATGCAGTATTTCCTTGCTCTGTTCTAATGACTGCTTCCTGGTCCAAGCATAGGTTTCATATAGTATATATATTCAATATTATTATTAATATATCATTAATAATATGTTTGTTGTTATGTGCCGTCGAGTTGCCTGCGACTCATAGCCACCCTATGTACAACAGCCCTAAACTCCGCTCTGTCCTGTGCCAATCACACTGTCTCTGACATTCCCATCCCAATTATCCCAGTCACTGAATCAATCCACCTCATAGAGGGCCTTCCTCTCCTGCGCCATCCCTCCACCCTCCCAAGCATGATGTCCCTCTC